AAGTCATTAGAGTAAATTACCCCTTTCATATAGTTCAGAGCATTGTGGAGACTTACGACAACGTTAAGTTGGGTGCGAGAGCTTTCAGTTGCATTAGTCTGCTTGCAGGCTGGTTTTCGTTTTTATTAAGAGTGTGTCGTTTCAAAGTTTTTTGCACACGTCAACTTCACCAACGCAGGCGAAATCAATTTGTTTTTTGATTAGGAAGGTTTATGCTTGGATCTGCTCTGCTAATAATGACATACTTGGGGCCTGGGTTTTTTAGTAGTTTTATATTTTTAGAAGGGTCTAGTCGACTTTAATCGGGGGGTCCCCTATCTCGCAGTCATTATTTTTATGGAACGTAGGTTCACTGGCGCGCTGGCTTTGCTTGCACTTGCTCTGGACGATAGGTATTGACGAGACCAATACATTTCAGTTAAAATTTTTTATTTAGCATAAAAATTGTGGGCGTCACAGGTTTTCGCGGTTTGTGGGCGTTAGAGTGGGCGTGGCATATTTGCGTAACAAACTTGCGCTGCGTATAAGGCTACGGAATCTAAATCTGAAATCTCAATTCTCTATCTTTGATAGTTTCCGAGATACCCGCGTTCATATTTATTTTTTGAAGTTTGTGGGCGGTTAATGGGCGTTATGGTGGGCGTTTACATTTCAGTTAAAATTTTTATTCTAGCATCAAAACTGTAGGAGCCACAGTTTTGGGCGGTTTGTGGGAGTTAGAGTGGGCGTGGCACTCTACTGAAACAAACTTGCGCTGCGTAAGAAGCTCAGGAATCTGCACGCCAAATCTCAATAGCCTAGCTCCCATAGTTTCCGAGATCTCAGCGTTCATCCGGACAGACAGACGGACAGACGGACATGGCTAGATCGACTCGGCTAGTGATCCTGATCAAGAATATATATACTTTTCCGGTTCGGAAACGCTTTCTTCTGCCTGTTACATACTTTCCGACGAATCTACACTCAGAAAAAAACGCATCCTAAATTTGAGCGCGATTTATACTTGATTTCGATAGTACTTTATGGGCTTGTTTTAAGAATGAGAATGTTTCGCGTTCTTAAATTAAGAATAAATCGTTCTTAAAACACAAATTATCCGAAAAACGTCTTGATTCAAGAACATTATTCAATAAATAGGACCAAACAAGTACGATTTCTGCTTAACCTAAGTATAATATATTCTGAAAAAAAATGTTTCTTGGTAAGCACGAACATTCTCAATGTAATCACTAAAAGTACTTAATTTCAGAAAATTTGGTTTCAGTATTCTTAAAATAGGAATGAATTATTTTCATTAGTACTACAAAACTTCAAAAATAAATAGTATATCAACAAGTACAGTTTGTGCTTAAATTAATAATATAACGCACTTCTTATTTTTGCTGATAAATATGCTGCGCGTTCTTGAATCAAGAATAAATCATTCTTAAAACCCAAACTATCCGAAAATGTTTTTGATTCAAGAAAAATCAGATTTTAGTATCCTTAAAATTGGAATGAATTATTCTCATTTATAGTACAAAACATCAAAAATATAAAGTATACCAAGTACAGTTTGTGCTTAAGTCAATAATATAACGCTTTTATTATGTTTGCTAAAAAAGAACAAATGTTGCTTTATTTAAATAGATTTTGCACTTAGTGTAGTGTAGACAAAAATCGCAAACATTAAAAAATGTTATAAAACAGATCCTCCTCCTCAATTTTTTTGTGCTTAGATCAGAGAAAGAAATAGGAAATTAATAATTGCCCGTATATACGCTGAAGCGCATATATTACCGTACGCTTATATTTTCAAAACATTAAGAATTGTTCATATGAACAAAAACATAACGAATTGATTATTATTTATAATTAATAAGGAAGTTCTCCAAACAAGCACATTTTGTGCTTAGATCGGAGAAAGAAATAGAAAATTGATAATTGTCCTTATATACATATGTACTCTGAAACGGAATACGGAAATACGTCTGCATTTTTCATACAGTCTAATCTACGCCTGATCGCTTATACACATCCACAATTGTGCAATTTTGTTGCAAATAAATTGACACAAGTGTAAGTGTTTTCCTATAATGTAAGCGATGGGCTGAAAAAATATCGATAGTTTGAAGCTTACCCAAAATTAAAAGTATTCATTTGAATCAAAACATTAAAAAAAGTAAAAAGAACTCTGTAAACCATAACCTATTTAAGAAATCACCTATTATTGTTTTGCCATCTACATATATATGTCTATAAAGGGTTTAACAAATTTTGCAGCTGGTGTATTGTACAACTCAATCCCAGAAATAGAGGTTAAATTCACGAACATGTATACAAAAAGCGCAAAATTATTATTAATATTTATATAGCTAATATTTTAATAAATTTAATTCCAAAAACGTTTAACTTAATACATATAATAGGTAAAGTTTACTATAGAACAAAAATCTCGATACCAACACGAGATGATATTTGATATATCGATACAATTGAATGGTAGCCCCAGCTCTAGAAAGGAGCCATTCACTTTTGATCTGATCGCGTGTGTCAAAGTTGAGTGAAAATGAGTGCAAAAAGGGAAGCGAAGCTGGAAGAGTTTTTACAAAAATATGAACTGGAAGATGTTCGGGATTACCTCGAAAGTAAGTAATAATAATGTGTAATAACTCTGAATTGAAGTGAAGAAATAATTGTGCACTTGGTAATCCTGCGAAAAGCGCAGCACGTGGTTTTTTTTCCTGGAAAACTACATTGAGCAAGCACACTTATACAGGCAAAATACTACAATTTAAATTCCCGCGAAAAGTGCGCGCTTTATAAAGTTTTTTATCGCTAAATTCATATGTACTTATTTATGTGAATATTTACATATTTACACGTACATTGTACATGTGTATGTACATTTCTTAGTGCTAACCCAGTCGTAAGTTGCGGAACGTGTTTTAAAAAAACATAGTTCTGGGTCGTACCTTTTTTACGCAAAATAGCACGCATGCAAATTTTCCAAGGCAAATGTGCGTGCTGGGTGCATTCTATTGCGGTGCCTTCTAGAAGTGTTTCAGAATAATGCATCCAGAAGCATGCCCAAACACCCGTTTCGGGAACGTATTCCGAAAGAAATAGTTCTGGGTCGTATCTTTTTTACGCAAAACAGCACGTATGCAAATTTACCCAGCAAAATGTGCGTGCTGGGGGCAGACTTTTGGGTGCCATCTGGGTGTATTTCAATATAGTGCATCCTGGTGCATTTTAGTGGGAATGTAAAAAAACCAAACTCAAACCCGAAGGTTGCCGATGCCCATTTTTTTACAATCGTCTTTTTTCGGAACTGTTCTCTTGACAAACAAATAATAAAGACAAAAAGGAACATGCAAGGAAGCGAGCGGTTTTTCTTGTCTTTTGCATTTCTCGTCAGTTGCATTTTTAGTGCTAAAAGTGAAGTTCGTGCTACGTGTTTTGAAAAAGTTTGTTGCTTTCTGCCACCAATTTTACATCAAAATTTTCACAGGTAAGTAAAGTGTAGATAATTTAGTTCACTATGAACACAATAAGATATCACAGTACATGTACACTGAACATTTAAACTAAAAACATATTAAACAAATAAAATAATAACTATTTGTATGTAAATTGTACATACAAAATAAAAATAATGTATATTTGTAATGTATATACACATATTTCAAAATATATAATATTCAATTTGCTTTATATTTTTTAGAATCGCAAAAAATGAATGGGCACACCAAGGACTGAACTGCGTAAATGACAAAAGTACATAAACAAGAAGGAAGCACCAAAGCACCGTACAGAAGGGGAGTTACTCCGATCAAAAATTAGTTGCGTTCTTGAATATTGAAAAAAAAAAATATGAAGTTGAAATCCAGTTGTATGTATTCCTGGGGAAAACTTCCAGATATTTGGTTTTTGAATGCTTCTAGGTGCATTCCTGGGTACATGTTACAGGTGCATTAAAAAAGAATACACCCAGAATGTGTTTAGTATGTTGCTTCCAGGTGCATTAAAAAAGAATACACCCAGAAGGTGTTTAGTATGTTGCTTCCAGGTGCATTAAAAAAGAGAACACCCAGAATGTGTTTAGTTTGTTACTTCCAGGTGCATTCCAGATATATGCTTCCAGAAGCATGCAACGGGTGCATTCTTTTTTGTTCCGCACCCGTGTAAAAAGAATGGACAGACTCATCACTTCCGGAACACCTTTTTGATGCCATTTCATAATGAAAGAACGCATGCTGGAATGCTGTCATTTACGACTGGGTTGTAAAATTTACCAATACTCACAACCGCTTTGTGTGTATGTGCTTTGGCTTCTCTTGAGACTTCTGCTGCTCTTGAGACTTCTGCGGCCACAGGCTCACTAAGAATCCTGATCTAACTGATATGCTTGACTCCACGGGTTCACTAAGATTCCCGATCTGCTTTCCTTGAATCCGCCTGCCACGTAGAACTGGAACACATCCGTAATTTGCTATTTAAGCTGTCACATAGACCTGGGAACACATCCCATTGCAAACTTTCCACGCCGACGATTCTTGCTGCTTTTCTTAGAGTTCCAACCACACTGATCCCACTACTGAACTGAGAAGGGTAGCTATTCGAGTCGTGTAGGTTTTATTTAGGATACGCAGAGAGAATTATTCAAGTAATTTGTACTCAAATTGAGTATTTTTGTACTCAAAATTCAGCATGAACAAAAATTCTCACATTGAGTGCAAAATACTCACTTTCAGTACAAATTTCTCAAAAAATTTGTACTTAAATTGAGTACGTTTGTGCTCTTTTTTGAACATTTTTCCTCAATATGAGTACAAACTGCACTCATTTTAAGAAATAATTTAGCTTGAATTTTAGAATCGAGTATCCCCTTTTCTCAAACTGAGGAATTTCTAGCGCTCAAAATGAGAAACAAGTTCTTGATAGTGAACTTATAAATTCTTAAATGAAGAACTTTTGCACTTAAACCCGCTCCACCCATTCCCAGAAAAAAGGTAAAATATTTTTTTTCATTATATTTTGTAATACAGTTATATATATACAAACATATTATTTTTTATTTAAGTTTATGTTCCATGTTATGGGTTATGATATTATTCCCTTAGCTGTCTGGTCTAGCGAAAAGCAAAGAGGCTGAAAAGGAAACGTTATTGTTAGCAAATATTGTAAATATATATGCATATATAAATATGAAACAATAAAATTAGAATGTTATTAAATGTACATTTAAAATGCATGTATGTATGTATGTACATTATATGTACATAAAAAACTAACAAAACTAGACACGTGCTTCACGCCACTTACAATCACACATACATACATATTGATGTACACGCTTTGGCAATATTTTTGCAGTGTTTGTTTATTGTATCATTATTAAGCACATTATAAATACAGTTAAAATTAAAGAACTTACCCTCGAGGTACGGAAGGGTGGCACGAATGTCCAGTTCACTACTAAAGTTTTTTAACTTTGGGTTACGCGCACGACTTAACTTTGCTAAATCACACGGCAAATGACATTCACACAAATGCGGCGCGTACCACTTTACACACCCATTAGTGAGAAAGAGACAACCATATACGCAACGAACTAAAGGCCGCTCATCTCTCGTCTCGTTCGCAGAACGGAACTCTCTAGAACCAATTATGAGAATTATCAACTCATTTTTGAGTTTATCGATTACTCATAATGAGAATATTAATTCTCAAGTTTGAAATTGAAGAACACATTTCCTCAAACTTAGAATTTTGTGATCAATTCAAGTTATTTTTCTTAAAATGAGTGCAACTTTTCTCAACATGAGCTTTTTCCACAAATTTTGTACTTAAATTGAGTACATCCTCAAAATGAGAATACAAATTCTCAATTTCAGAACGTCATAGTTTTCTCTGTGTAGTTGTGTTGGATATACACCCAAAAAAAAAAGCCCTTAAATCAAGAAATTCGCGTTTAAATCAAGAAAATCGCCTATGATTTTCATCCAACGGCGACTCACCTTTATTTTAAATAAATAATTTTCTTGAATTTGTGGTATGCCATTTCTGAAAATAATGACAAATTTTTCTTAAATGTATGGTAAAAAACCTTAAAATTAAGGAAAAATTTATTAAAACAAGAAAAAAAAATATTTATAATGTAAGATTACATTACATTTTACATTTTATACCTTACATTTGATGAATTTGGTTGGTTTTGTATACCAATTTTGGATTTTAAATGGATAAAACTGTTTCTAATTTTAATGGCAATTATTACATGGGAATACAGTCTGAAAATTTTTATATTTACCTGAATTTATTAAAGATTTATTATATATAAATACTTTTTATAAACATATAAATAAATATAACAAATGGAATAATCCTTACCTCAGACATCCCCGGCGTGAACTCGAACCCGCAACTGCTCACTCTATAGCCAGACGTCTTAACCATTCGGCCACGCGTGGTTCTTTCCATACAATGACTAAAGAGGGCTAAGGTGTTTTTGGTCCAGCTTTACGCATACCAATAACGTTTATTCTAATCTAAACCTTTTTAACAACCGTTTAAACAATTTGGTAAATTGAAAAGTGAAACTAATAAGAACAAAAATTACATAAATTAAAAAAAAAAGAAAATTAAATAAACAAAGGGTACACTTTCCGTGGCGTGGGCTCGAACCAGGTACTTTTATTCGATTGTTTATTGACCGGACGTCTTTACCAGCTAGACCACCATCAAAATGTATAAAAAAAGGCACTTTCTCTTAAAATATGGGTATTTCTTTCCAAAATTTAAGTAAGAATTTACCATTATTTCAAAAAAAAAAAATCAAGAAAAATTCGCCATTAGTTAAAGAAAAAAATGCGATTCTTCCTCTTCTTCATTACAAAAAAAAAAATTATGGCGAATTCCTTAAATTGTAGGCATTTTTTCTATAATCAAGAAAATATTTCTTAATTCAATGGCGTTTTAAAATCACGGGCGATTTTCTAATATTTATGGTGATTTTTTTTTTGAGTGTATTATTACATATAGAAATTATAACTATAAGTGTTCTGCACACGTTCTGCTCTGGAGTCTATCTCTGTCTCGACTACTTTACATTTTCAGAGTCTGGTAACATTATAAAAAGGGACTTATTCAACACTAATATCGAAGGTTTGGTATACTCGTATACTGTATTAGGCGCTGTCCACATGTTCTAACCTCTAGGCTACTCAGGACTGTGAAAAATTCGGATAGAAAGCCTAAACAGATTTGACACTTATTACTACACAGAGAGAATTATTTAAGTAATTTGCACTCAAATTGAGTATTTTTGTACTCAAAAATTCAGCATGAACAAAAATTCTCACATTGAGTGCAAAATACTCACTTTCAGTAAAAATTTCTCAAAAAATTTGTACTTAAATTGAGTACACTTGTGCTCTTTTTTGAACATTTTTCCTCAATATGAGTACAAACTGCACTCATTTTAAGAAATAATTTAGTTGAATTTTAAAGTCGAGTATCCCCTTTTCTCAAACTGAGAAATTTCTAGCGCTCAAAATGAGAAACAAGTTCTTGATAGTAAACTTATAAATTCTTAAATGAAGAACTTTTGCACTTAAACCCGCTCCACCCATTCCCAGAAAAAAGGTAAAATATTTTTTTTCATTATATTTTGTAATACAGTTATATATATACAAACATATTATTTTTTATTTAAGTTTATGTTCCATGTTATGATATTATTCCCTTAGCTGTCTGGTCTAGCGAAAAGCAAAGAGGCTGAAAAGAAAACGTTATTGTTAGCAAATATTGTAAATATATATGCATATATAAATATGAAACAATAAAATTAGAATGTTATTAAATGTACATTTAAAATGCATGTATGTATGTATGTACATTATACATACAAAACTAACAAAACTAGACACGTGCTTCACGCCACTTACAATCACACATACATACATATTGATGTACACGCTTTGGCAATATTTTTGCAGTGTTTGTTTATTGTATCATTATTAAGCACATTATAAATACCGTTAAAATTAAAGAACTTACCCTCGAGGTACGGAAGGGTGGCACGAATGTCCAGTTCACTACAAAAGTTTTTTAACTTTGTGTTACGCGCACGTCTTTACTTTGCTAAATCACACGGCAAATGACAGTCACACAAATGCGGCGCGTACCACTTTACACACCCATTAGTGAGAAAGAGACAACCATATACGCAACGAACTAAAGACCGCTCATCTCTCGTCTCGTTCGCAGAACGGAATTCTCTAGAACCCATTATGAGAATTCGCAACTCATTTTTGAGTATATCGGTTACTCATATTCAGAATATTAATTCTCAAGATGGAAAATGAAGAACACATTTCCTCAAACTTAGAATTTTGTGATCAATTCAAGTTATTTTTCTTAAAATGAGTGCAACTTTTCTCAACATGAGCTTTTTCCACAAATTTTGTACTTAAATTGAGTACATCCTCAAAATGAGAATACAAATTCTCAATTTCAGAACGTCATAATTTTCTCTGTGTACGATTCGATAATTAGGACTGGACGATACAACCCTACCAACACTAGACCCATATCGATAATCGACAATCGAAGTAGTTGGCCGAGAATTAGAACTTGGGAATCATAACAGAGTGGAACTTTTCCCAAAACCCAGTAGGTGAGGTTTAAGGGAACCCCTAGACGCTCTCATCTCGGCGCCGGTGGTAGCTGAGTGAGTAAAGGGGTTACTTGTCAGCAATAACACCATATCACCACCGGCCCGAGTTCGAATCCCGGTAAGTTCTAAGCAGCTTGACACACAAACAAACAACTAAGGATACATATACAAGGATACACGTTATAGGTACACTCTTGAATTGAACGCAATAAATAAAGTAGAATTAAGCAAAATGTGAGCCGAAAAAAAATGAAAAAGAAAAAAAATATTAGGGAAAATTAGGCTAGATTTTTTTGGCTCAAAAATGTCACCTTTGAAGTACTATATTTTTTGTAAAGAATGTTTTTGTGGAATTGGTTTGGCATTCAGCACGGGTGGTAAAATCTGTTTCTAAATCGGAGGAAATGAAGTGAAGGAAAAAAGCTCAGGCAAGATCAGAAATATCTTGAGATCCTATTGTAGTTTAATCCATGCTTTCAACTAGCTTAAACCACCCCCATGCGTTTTTGAGTTGGTCTGAGGACACAGAAATAGAGAAATATATAATAATCTGAAAATTTAAGTACATATGACGAGTGCTCTAATATTACAAAAAAGATAATCATGACAAAATCAAAAACCAAAGAAAAGGAAAAAAAAAATTTGAGCTGAGGTTTTAACCCCCATACTATGCAGCGAGAGTTAGATGTTCTAACCTCTAGGCTACTCAGGACTGTGAAAAATTCGGATAGAAAGCCTAAACAGATTTGACACTTATTACTACGATTCGATAATTAGGACTGGACGATACAACCCTACCAACACTAGACCCATATCGATAATCGACAATCGAAGTAGTTGGCCGAGAATTATAACTTGGGAATCATAACAGAGTGGAACTTTTCCCAAAAACCCAGTAGGTGAGGTTTAAGGGAACCCCTAGACGCTCTCATCTCGGCGCCGGTGGTAGCTGAGTGAGTAAAGGGGTTACTTGTCAGCAATAACACCATATCACCACTGGCCCGAGTTCGAATCCCGGTGAGTTCTAAGCAGCTTGACACACAAACAAACAACTAAGGATACATATACATACAATAAATAAAGTAGAATTAAGCAAAATGTGAGCCGAAAAAAAAGAAAAAGAAAAAAAATATTAGGGAAAATTAGGCTAGATTTTTTTTGGCTCAAAAATGTCACCTTTGAAGTACTATATTTTTTGTAAAGAATGTTTTTGTGGAATTGGTTTGGCATTCAGCACGGGTGGTAAAATCTGTTTCTAAATCGGAGGAAATGAAGCGAAGGAAAAAAAGCCCAGGCAAGATCAGAAATATCTTGAAATCCTATTGTAGTTTAATCCATGCTATCAACTAGCTTAAACCACCCCCCATTCGTTTTTGAGTTGGTCTGAGGACACAGAAATAGAGAAATATATAATAATCTGAAAATTTAAGTACATATGACGAGTGCTCTAATATTACAAAAAAGATAATCATGACAAAATCAAAAACCAAAGAAAAGGGAAAAAAAAATTTGAGCTGAGGTTTGAACCCCCATACTATGCAGCGAGAGTTAGACGCTCTAACCTCTAGGCTACTCAGGACTCTGAAAAATTCGGATAGAAAGCCTAAACAGATTTGACACTTATTACTACGATTCGATAATTAGGACTGGACGATACAACCCTACCAACACTAGACCCATATCGATAATCGACAATCGAAGTAGTTGGCCGAGAATTATAACTTGGGAACCATAACAGAGTGGAACTTTTCCCAAAAACCCAGTAGGTGAGGTTTAAGGGAACCCCTAGACGCTCTCAT